TAGAGGTACTACCTCTACCATCTATAGCCTATGGCATCTAAAAATTTTGCCGATAATTTCTATCGTAGTCTCAGTAAAAAGATTTAGATTTTATTTCACTGAAAAATTTCCCCTTCTACAAAAATATAAACTTACCGATGTAAATATCCACATAGCGGGGAAAATTAAATTTGAGAACGAAATTAATTCTTTGCTAAGACAAGCATGCAATTTTTTGTTACACAAAAAATTAGTTAATAAGCTCAATTTTGTTATGGCTCGCGAAGCAGTTCCTCTAAATAAGATATATTTTTATAAAATTGAAATATTTTTTATACTTTAAAACATATTTAATCAAAAATTAAAACACGAACACAAACATCAAAAATAAAATTCACTATTTTTTTACTTCTTTAAATTATTAAAAGAAAAAAGATTGATTACACATCTTGACATAAATATGGATAGTTGTATTAAAGTTCATGTCTAGATGTTATACAGTATTTTATAAAGTGTTTTAAATAAAGTGGAATTTTTATCAGTGTAGAGGCTCTCTGAATTACTTTTTTTAGTTTTCATACTCATTAATTTTCATCCCTTACAGATACACAAATTGTGAATCTAAACAAACTTAAAAAAATAGTTATTATTGTGCTAATCTTTCTGCTTTTTTTCCAAGTTTTAATTTGAAACCTAACTCATGCTTAGTTAGACTAAATATATTAGATAATTTAATTATATTTCGACAACAATTTTTTTTTATTTCAATAGGTGGAGTGGAATAAATCGCTGTAAGAAAATGGAAAAAGAGGATATTATGGGTAATCCAACGGAGGTGTAATAAAAAGAATGTCACAGACAGCCGATGCTGAAAGTGAAGCGGGCTCCATCTGCGACGAGGAACGAGTAAAAAAGCTCTTCCAAGCTTGCGACGGGGATGGCGATGGATTCATCGATAGGTTTGTTTGTTCTTTATCCACCAATTCGTTTTGAGCTTTAAGTTACTTTTGAATTCAGATGAAACAATTTTGAAATAGTGTATTACACCCCTTGGGAAGGAAAATAAGAAAAGCCTCAGATCACATGTAATTGTTGGCCGAGGCGAAGCCGAAGTCAGCAAACATGTGATCTGAGGTTTTCTTTTTTACTTTCCAAGGGCTGTATAATATTTTTTTATCCGAGGAAGGCGGAAAGCGGCAACTTTGTTTAGCGCAGTGGGACCAAAGTTGTCACTTTCCGCCCGGAGGACAAAAAAAATTGATTGACCTTTTTTAAGGGATAAACTGAATATTCTACAACGATAATTTTCAATTTCGAAAATTTTTATGAAATTACTTAAAAATGTTATTATTATTATTATTATTTTAAAATCTTAATCTATTTTAAAATATGTTATGATTCATAACTTATGAATGAAGTTAAAGAGTTACTCTATTTTGAATGCCTGAAAAAAACGCTATTTCTATTAATTTTTTTTAGAATACTTCACGTTTGATGATATATAACTTGCTTAGCTTAATTAAAACACTCTTTAACTACAAAAAAAATTTTTTTTTTATTTTGAACACTATTTAATTACCAAAACGACAGTTAAACAGCAATCTTCGAAAAGTAGATCGGTCCGCGTTGATGAAAAAATCTAAACAACGTTTAATGTGAAACAATAAAGTAAAATAGTTTTAAGTTTATCATGAGATTGGCTATGTCCTGTAGCAACAGTATTAATTTTTATGCAAAAATAACAAAATGTCGGTCAAAAAAAAAAAACGAAAAAGTACATTTTTTTGCGTGATTTTTTGCACAAAAATGTACTAAAAATATCAATTTTGCAATAATTCTGCTACGAAATATAGCGATAAGTGTACAGATTATGCAATTAAAATTTCATAAGGATCGATTCAGAAATTTCTGAGATTATTTCAACAAGCGGTTCAGAAACGCTCTGGTACACGCACCGGCTGGGACGAACAAGCGCGTTCAGGTAGTAACATTCAACTTACGAAAAAGTATAGTTAGAATAGTGCTGCTGGCGTTATGTGACTTAAGACGTGTCTTACTTTTAGTCAAAAACTAAACACAATGAATATTCATTTTAGATTTAAATTTCACATTAAATCCAATTTGATTTCCATTATAACTGCTCAAATAGATGTTTGAAAACTTTGAGTTTTAACTTAAATAAACAATCGATTGTATAGGAATTCAATCATATCTAAAGAAAATTTATGTCTTCTGTATTTCAGTCAAGATTTGTTGACAGTATGCCGAGAGTTAAATCTTGAAGATTCAGTCGAAGAATTGATGCAAGAACTTGGTGCTGATGAAAGTGGTCGAATATCTTATCAAGAATTCCTAAGACGAAGAGTAGCGTTGAGACCTGAAATCGAAGCACTTAAATCTGGAAAAAATAAATCGACTTCTACACATTTAACTCATACTCCAGAGTATCTACCAACGAGCAGTGATAACAGTCTTGGTAATAAAATTATAACAGTTTTGGGTATAAAGTAGTTTTGATTAAGAAGAAACTGATTTTAATTGAAATAATTAATCTATTTAAGGAACTGTGTCTGGGCGACATGAAAGCTGGGAATTCGATAGCGGTGCTCGTGATCTTTCCCCTGAACCGCAAGTGCTCCAAAAACTTGTCGAAGCTGCTGCTGGAGGAACTGGAAACATGCTCGATCTTGCTAATAAGGTAAAATATATTCCAATCTATTATTTTCCAAGAATTGAAAGCATTCCTTATAATTTCGGTGTTCTTACTTAATGTCCAAAAGAATTAAAAAAATAAATGTGTATTTTCAAATTCAAGCGTACAAATGTTTTAATTTCAATCAAGAAAAAAAATTTTTTATGACTGAAAAAAAAAAGTTGAGAAATTTTTGTCATTGATCGATATAAAAACGTATATTGAAGAGTATAGCTAGAAATATATGGAAGAACTGCTTTTGGAGTATTTCCAATTTGTGCTTAAGGTATATTAGTACTACCGGTTTTAGAATTGACGTTCAGAATTTGATGAAACTTGGCATATAGGTACATAATAATATCTTAATTAACCACTTAAATTTTTGGAGGCCTACCGAGAATTGAAAAAAAGAGATTAATTTTTACATATTTTTGCCTTTACCATTTCCTTATGGAAAATCACAGACTTTATTTTATTTCACAAAACTGGACGTTCAGATTCTTATAAAAATTAAGACAACGAGAGAAAATAACATCTAGAACATATTTAATAACAATCAGTATGGTTTCCGAGATTATGAGAATATTAATTAATAAAAAACATTCAAAATTTATCTCTGTCTCTCTTTCTCCAACGCGATTTAGCATAGGGAAATCTACTACGTTAATCAAATAAGGTTAGGTTTTGGGATTTGACTCTTGTGGTAACGGCAGTACTATCCTATAAGTGATCATTTTAGTGCTAAATTTTTATTTTTTTCCAATATTAATGAACAAAAAAATTGAGAAAATACTTTCGGTGTTATTCCTAGATGGAAAGCTGATTTCAAGAAAAAAATAGAAGTGAAAACATTTTATTCATCGCATTTTCGAAAAATAGACATATCGAGAGTAGAGCACTACCTCAACGCTTCACTTATAAGGCGTGCAAAATCTAGTTTAATTAAATGGCGTCATAGTTTTCACGTGAGAAAAATAAGAAAAGTTCGTTTGTTTTTGTACGTGTGTATCATAGTGAATTTTTATAAAAATTCAATTTAAAAAAAAAAAAAATGAGGAAAACGGTTGACCCTGAAGGCTATCCCCCCGTAACTTCCCGCTAATTCCATACCTAGGCGCTTAAAATTGTACTTATGATGTTTCTGAGCTCTTCAAGCTCAAAAAAATAATTTATGTGTTATTTTGAGCTCTCCGAGCTCAGAGAGATAGCTTTTCTATGCTTTTGAGCTCTTCGAGCTCAAAAGTCTAATAGAAGTTTCATAGAACATCTATTTTTTGAATTTTCAAACCGCAATAACTTTTGAACGAGTCAACCAATTTTCATGCGGTTGGCGGCATTTGACGCAGTTTCTTCAGACTCATTTTTCTGGTTTCTTTCGTTCACGATATCTCTCGAACGAATCAACGGATTTCGACCGGCTTGGTGGCAATCGACGTGGTTTTTTGATGTTAAGAGCTGATTAGTTTTTGAAATCGATTGGTAAAGCCGTTTAAAAATTATTCCAAAAAAACCACATTTGAAAAATTTTTTTTTCTTCGTTTTTTTGAGATTTCTCAAAATCTACTGGTCCGAATCGGACTAAATTGTATCCAAAATCTAATTTTGGCCAAGCCATTTCGAATTCAAAACGTCGAGATTCGTTGAAATTTCAATTTTTGCAAAACGAGGTAAAACCAATAACTTCCCGATTTTTCGAAAATCATTGATTTTCTTAGCGGGAAGTTAAAAATACGTTAGCTAGGCTACTGATATGAAATACGGGACCAGTTCATCGAATTCTCAAACTAATAAAAAAAGCCCGGTCCCATGAAATGATTTTAGAAAGTATAAGAAGGTTTAATTTTAGTGTTTTATTGGTGTACATTCTTTTATATATTATATAAGTGCAGTATGGTTGTGATAGAGCCATGTGAAGATCACAAAATTGCTTAATCTTGACAAGTCGGGTGTAAAGCACAACCTCACACGCTTCGCGCTATGGGCGTGCAAAAAATTAATAGAAATAACGTTCTTTTAAGGCCCCCAAAGTAGAATCAACTTCTTAAGACGTATCATTAATATTTTTGACGTTCAAAATAAATTGACTTTGTCACACGAATTTTATTCGTGTATGTGACCCTCTCTGCGCCTAGAGTTGGCAACAAATCCATTCTCAGTGTCTCTAAAATTTAACTATTGTTATATTAATTTATTTATTATATATCATTTATTGTTATTTATATTTGATAATTTATGTATTATTATCATCATTTCTTAAGTAATAATTTGGCATTTATTTCAGGAATTTTGTATTTTAATATTTATAATCTTATTATTCATTGTATATTAATTATTGGTAATGAGTCGTAGCCCTTGCTCGCGCGGGTAATTCCCTAGAATATCGATTGCGAGCACAGGGACCAGTAATTTTGGAAAACGACGTGAGAGGCCCTCGTGATCGAACACGAGGTCTCGGAGTTTTTGAGAAAATAAAAATCGAGAGACACGCGGCAACCCGCAAAGTGTAAGAGTGTGGATCTGGCACCTCTGTTCGAGTTCCCTTTTTTTGATGAGTACTCACAAGTTGAGCCATTTTATTGACCACGCACCGCGTTGTCTCCCGGCGAACAAATTAGCATAAAAGTTGGTACTAATTAATCGAGTCAATATTATTTGTTTATTTCGTTTTGTCGAGATAACCCGACTGGGGATTTCGGGTATATCTCACTTCAATGATATTTAGATACAATTTCTAATATATAACCAGCGTCGTCGTGATTAAATAATATACTCAGGATTTATATTAATTATTAATAATTGTACGCGGCAAATTTATTATTGTTGTTATTATTAGTCCAACCGGCAAAGGAACTCGGCTCTGAACTTAGTTTTAAGTATTTTGTGTTTTGAATAAATAGCTTATTTTTTATTAATATTGCGACTGATTATTAAGAACGTGATTCATTAATATTTTAATTTTACGTAAGTTGCTTTCTTCTTTCTTTCCTGATATTCGTATACTAGTTATCTATCCCTTGAATAGCTGCAGATCGGCCCTGGAAATAAAGAGTTTGTTGTTTCCCTCAGTGAAAGAACAACTGGCCTCCAAAAGAAGATCGTGCACTAACCCAGCTTGAGGAAGAGCTGCTGGTTGCTTGAGAGGAGAAGAGTTCCCTCCCAAGTCGTTTTTTTGTTTGTTTATTTTTTTATTGGGCAACCTGGACAGAATTACGTGTCCACTGACCACTCCACTGTCAGTGAGAACGTAATTTTTGTTACAACTTCCAATTCCCAGGAGCGCGAAGGGTGTAACAAGTCTAAAAAAATCCTAAAATTATTAGTCTATTAGTCTCTCTGTCTCTCATTCATAATCAAATAAGGTGACAATAAGATTCAGTTCGTCAAAAAGAAGCAAAATAATTAAAAAAATTCTTAGCTTTTTAAATTTATTAATGTTGTGTATTTCTCAATTTTTTTCAGTTCAATGAGTAAGAGAAATACAGTGAAATATTGAAAATAAAAGCTATGACAATGATCGATAACTTTTTTCTATTTTCTTAACGGCAAGATGAACGTTTTCTTTAAAACTTACATATACAATATGTATGTATATTATGTATATGGGTCAATACCGTTCAAAAAATAATATGGTTCAGTCAGTGTTATATAGATAAGTCAAATACTCGTGTAACATAGCGTTGAACAGTTTAGTATAAAAACTCCTACCTTATAATTGAAGAGTTCCGGGTTCAAGCTCCGGGTCGGGCTTGTCGTTTTTTTTCCGTGCGCAAACATATATGTAAACATGTATTCAGCCGTATGTACTGGCATATATAAATATATACATCCATCATAGAAATTAAGGGAGCAGAATAATTTCCCAAAAAGGCTGTAAGTTTGTCAGTAATAGTCGTGTCGAGAAGAAAACATATAAATTATAAAGTAAATAAGAAAAATAACAAGACATGAAACACACAATAAACAATTTAGGGATTCTAGAAATTTTACCTCCCGATTACTGTGTAATTACTGTATACTTAGTCAAAAAATGATTCTCTAGTGACTCTGATAAGGATTATTAATTCAGATCATTACGTAAAATTACTAGTTGAATTATAAGTAAAAGTGAAATTAAGATTTTATATTTTGAATCCTTGTTTTTTAATAATTATTTACCGAGTGCATATCGATTTAGTTTGTAAATCAAATTTATTTAAAATAATCTAATTTTATATAGTTGTGCTATATACTCACAACTATATGTTTATGTAATAACTGTACTTACTATGTAATGAAACTTGCCATTTGGCCTGTGCCTTGGCATTAAATAAACGAAATTCTAAATTCAAAATTAAAAATTAAAAATTCAAGAGATCGATAATACAAAAAACGACAGACCACTCAATCGCCAATATCTCATCAACATATAGTAACATACAGAAAAATTCAAAAACTCGCCTGATAGCCAAGTTAGTCACAACTTTCTATCAATTTATTGCCGCAACTTGTCACCAAGTTGGTAGCAAGTCTTGGATATCCACTCGGTTGGTGTCAACTTGTTCACCAAGTTGTCAGCAAAAACTGCTTCTGAAACTTTTTCACATCAAGTTGACGAGAAGTTTCTCAAGAAATTGGGTGACATATTACGGCAGTAGATTGATCTTCTTGTTCTCACAAAGTTGTAGCCAACTTGATGCCAACAGTTACAAATTCGAAACTTGACCGCAAGTTGTCTCTAAGTTGATGGTAACTATCTGACACCAACTTTGTTAGTCTGAAACTCTGGCTATCACGATCGTGACTCAACCGATCTATCTGAATTTTTCACACAAGCTTTATGAATAGGTATTTCCGAAATTGATCCAAGGATTAATTTTTCCGATACACTGATAAAAAAATTGACTTGACTCAAAAGCCAAACTCTTGGACCAAGAATTTCATATTGAAGAAACTGATTTTCTTGTGCCAAGAGAATAAATTCTTGAGACAAGAAATATTTACTTGAATCAAGAATAATTTCTTAACTCAAGAATTTATTCTCTTGATTTAAGAAAATCATTTTCTTCAAAATGGTATTCTTGGTTCAAAAGTTTGGCTCTTGAGTCAAGTCAATTTTTTTATCAGTGTATCTATTTGCTATTTCGAGAACACTTCAAAACAAAAATTTTCATCGACAAATTGACATTTTTTTGTAGAAGACGTGCATTTTGTTAAAAATGAATGTTTTTCCTATTCTTTCGATAATCTACTAGACAAATACCCTGTGTTATAACGAAATTTTTTTATTGTTTGTATTTTTGATGATCGAATCTATAGATCTTGTGCTTACCGTACAATACCTTTGTTCGAGAACTTTCTGAAGATCAGCTATAGTGGCTTTAGAAATTATTATTTTTCAATGAAAAAAAATTCAATGTCAAGTTAAAATTTACCAGGATATTTATTATAGTGTCTGTTATTTTCTACGTTAGATATTTTTTGCACCCCTCTCCCCCCAATTTTTAGTTTTTACTCTAAGAAAAATATCAAACAAAAAAAAGCTCATTATTTTCATTCTAAACTGAGCTGAAATCATATAACATTTTTCATTTGAATAACATGATATTTTTTTTCACTGTTTACAGGTAATGTGTTTTATCTCTAGAATTAAAAGTGTTGCAATGATGAATACATATTTCCGGTCTCTCATGATTTTTTGATAAAATCATTTCTTAAAAAGTTATTTAAAATCAAAGTCATACTTGCAAAAAATTAAAGTTTTTAACGTTTTAAACACTTTTTATTGATTTATTAAAAATCTTTAATTTAAGTATTCGGAAAATACTTCAAAAAGATCATTTGAAGATAATATGATAATCAAAGCTTTTTTTTAGTTTGAAATTTTTTTCCTTTAGGACAAAAATTAAAAATATAGTTTGTGGTTGCAAAAAAAAACATCCAACTCGAGAAATAACAGACACTGTAGTGTTGATAAATTTTTATGTTAATAAATTGAAAAAAATTAAGTTAGCCGACATCTAAAAATTTTTAGAATTTTTTTTTATTAAAAAAATTTCATTTGTAAAAAACTTGAAAAACTATAAGTGCAATTTTTAAAAAATATTTACTTCGAATTTAATAAATGAAAAAAAAAATCATAAAATAAAAAGACTTGAGTATTATTAATCTGAAAGGTTTTTCGAGCAAAATTTTTCTAAAAAAGCTATATTGACCTCTTAATAAAACATACTCTTAAATAAACGTACAACCTCTTAATTTCGTGTTGAAATATACCCGGAAAAAAATTTTGTTCATCTCTTCTTTGAATGAATACTTCAAATTACTATATCATTAGAGTGCTCTCGAGCATTAACAATTTTTTTGTGCCTAACTAATACATTATAATTATCATATAAAAATTATATGAAACAAAATATTTCCGAATATTTTAAATACTTTAACATCAAAAGCAATAAATTACATGATGTAAAACTAAAAAGAAAAACAAAATAAATACAAAAACAGTAAAATGGGAAAATTAACGAGAGTTTCTTGGCGCCACATCCAGTCTGCAATATTGCCTGGCGTCTGTGCTACATAATCCACGTTCCCGCGGTTGCGCCTGGAGTGTATGACGCTTCGACGACTGGCGCCGGTTTCCTTCTATTCGTTTCATACTATTCTATACATGTGAGCTTACACTAATGTGTATTTACTATTACTATTTTATAAAGATGTACGTATATGTACACACACAAAAAGTTGAGAATCCACCAGAAGAGACATATGTATCACGAGAGTCAGCGCACTCAGCTTGTCAGTCTATCAGTGAACGTATTTGTGCACATTTCCCTCACAACTTTGTCATTTTCATAAATTTTTCATTTTATGATTGTGAAAGCAACTTTAATTATCTTTTTTACATACATAATAATTTTATGTGTGTTTTATCTTTATATTTCATTATAACTTATCAATTTTAGAGTTTTACAATCATTTTTGTATTAATTAAGATCATTTAAAAAAAATTATTTCATCAAATAATTTTATATTGCTTGAAATGCATAAAATAATTTGATTTTAATTTTATAAATTAGATAAAATAGTAAAAAACACCAAACAAGTAGTTTAAATGTTCATTTTAAATTTTCAATTAAATTTTTGTGAATTACAATTTTATTTTCGAATTTCCACTTAACGTACGCTACTTACTGTTTTATCTTCTTACATTATCATCAATTATTCACAATCATAATTTAATCAAAAGCACTAAAAGCGACTTATTTGCTTTATTTTTAATTCAGACAGAGTTTTTAGTTGGGATATTGTTTTATATTTTGTAAATAATTCCTTGGATAATAGTTAAAGAAGAAATGTAGTAGTTTTGGTGATACGGGTTAAATAAATCAATTTTTATTTATTTTAATAGCTTTTGTGTGAGCTTGATGTTAAACTTTTTAAAATTGTAAAGTGGTTTATTTTATTCGTTGTAATTCAATATGTTCTAATCCTTCTCCATTTATTGTTCTTTCTCTCACCGTCTGACTATAACAGTTACTCTATCCCTGAATAATTTAAGTTTCGTATGTCAATCAAATAACATTCTATCACGTA